AAGATCCGGCTTCGACCGTAATAGGCATTTTAAATTTCTAGTATTAAATATTGTTACTTTATTCTTAAATACATTAACGTGAGATTAACGTATATTACGATAAAATTAATTGTAATATACGTTTTACATTAATAAATTTTTTGCTTAAAATTATCTTATTTTCTACGGTTTAATTAAATGTATTTTCTATACTACATCAAAAAAATTTTTTTTTCACTTGTTTACAATAATAATACGTTATTATTAGCGTATTGATAAATACATATTAAAAAATCAATAAATGTTTATCATATAACATATAAAAATATATATAAAATATTCAATATGTCAATAATATGTACAGTAGTGTCAGCTGCAACAGCTTTAATTGATTTTTTTAGCGCGTGGCGATTAGATAAAATATAATCCGTATTCAGAATGATATCATAAGTACAGACCAGCAGAGAATTCTATAACGAAATAATATTATAGAAAATTCCCAGCTAATGCTAAATATTTCTGAAATATTTATAAAAGGTTCGTAAAATCCTTAAAAACATTTCAAGAGTATTCCGGAATATTCCAAAATATTTACAACATTCAAATATCGGTAAAATATTCCGTTTATATATCGTTACATATTCCGAGAATGTTTCATATATGTTTTGGAAAATTTTAATTTTTCCAGGTTCGGTCGTCCCTGAATCAGTTTTTAAACAAAATTTTGCTTTGAAAAATTCATTTCATACTTTCACCTTGGAGCCAAATTTTGAGGCTTATTTTACAGGAAAAAAAAACGTCCATTTGAACGTTGATCGTCACAATATTCGTTTGTGAATAATTTGCGGATCTTTTGTCTCTCGATTTAAGTGATTTTTGATGTTCATGTCTTTCATGGCTATATGAATTTTTATCTGTTATTCGTTGCCACTGGAATGGTCAACCAATTGAATAAGAAGATTGAGTTGCCATTCTACCGTCTTGTCATGAAGAAGTGAGAATTTACATTATACGTTCAGACATACTGATGATAGCTCGGAAGCAGGCTGAAACGTTTATGCGTAACTAATTTATATTATATTTCGATAATAAACGATTTTTATTTTCGCACTAACAACCGTGCAAAAAACTCTCATTAGCCCTTATTGTTCTTTGTTTTTTGATTTCAGTTTTGGCAACCCCTGCGAATGACTCTACACCCTCACAGCACATCACATTGAAATAAGGTTACAGTAATTTTAAATTGTAAGATTGTAACATTAAACGGAGATTAATAAACCTACTATTAACCTCCCAGTAACATGAAAATGATCGTCCAAACTGATTACATTAACATCCCAGAAGCCTTGCATGATAGGTTGTATTAATATTTCTACAATGTGCCAAGGACCTTGTAACATTGTAACATTAAACGGAAATTAATAAACCTACCTTATTGCTAAAATGAGTATTATTATTAATTAATATCTTATTCCAGAATACATATCATAAAATTATGATTAAAAAAAAAATTTTTCCCTGAATTTGGGAACTAATTTCATAGTACTTCGAAGCGGTCACCCATCCAATTGCATACCGCCATTTACTATCTTTGACTTCTGAAATCGTTTGGAAACTGCTGCACTTCAATGATCCACGAACACCTGCATAATCATGGGTGTATAGCGCGCTATGATACATCTCTTCAGTTATAGTTACGCTTGCCGAGCAATCGAATATGATTGGTTGGATCTATAAGTAATAACCAATTATGTTCATTTACTCGGCGAGCAGGCTAGCCGCTTTGTCAACTTGAACGTGCCCA